CGATGTAATCGATTCGACCGGGTCTCTGTGCATCATCATCATCATCATCATCATCATCACCACCACGCTTCATAAAAAGGTCAGCTCGCTGACGTAAGTTGCATCGGAGCTAAATAACGGCTTAGACGACCAGACGACGACGACGACGACCAAGCACCGACGTATAACGATTGCAGGCGCAATTAAGAGATCGCGTATCGATAAGAGAGAAAGAGAGAGAGAGAGAGAGAGAAAGAGAAAGAGAGACAGAGAGATTGCAAAGACCAATTAATATTAATATTCTGCCAATCAGCGAACTCTTCATCGTTCGACGTTATAACGGTGTTGCCCCGGTATCGAGTTCTTATCGACCACCCAGGCGCCCTGCGTTTTGCACGATCAATCTTGCACGCGCATTCCACATGTAAATGAATGTAGATAAATAGATCAATATATTTGGACTCGCGTTGTGTGACGTGGTGGTAAGTGCACGAGGCCGGGGATGTTGACACGCATTCCCTCGCACAAACGAGCGCTCGAGCGAAATCGCCGTGATACCAAGCGGGTGTCTCGTACAACACACACGCCCGGCACCATTTGCCCACCACCAACACGTTCTTTGAAGTCGGCAACGTTAACATACGTTGATACGCGCGTGACTCGTCTTTGATCTTTGCCCGGGTAAGTAATTAGACGTATCGGGTACGCGCGCAAAATTGCGTGCGCGCACGAACGCACTTCGATGTAAAGGCACTCGCGGGCTCTCTTCCCTTTCCCTTCTTTGCGTCTCGCCCGCCGATGCATCCCTCGTGTGTATGTATATGATATCGCTTGCAGTGTGAGGAACTTTATCAGATTCCTCAATTTATCGCTACAGCTTCTCGCCATCTTGTAGTACCTTATATTCATCGCGTAATCTCCATTATCACGCGCGAGAGATCAGAATCTTTCTTATGGGATTCTCCCCCACATAGTCAGGATTACCAGAATCCTTCTCTCTCTCTCTTTCTCTCTCTCTCTCGACTTTCTCTCTGTTTTTCGAAACAGTACGTGTTTTACCAGCGCGAGTAGGATTTGACGCTTGATCCGCTTATTGGAAGCTGAATTGAATGAACTCACTAAGACCGCGTCAATCTTGGTCTCGCAATCGGCTTTTATTTTATCTTACATATACTACATCCACACACACACGCGCGCGCGCGCGCGCGAGAGAGAGAGATTTAATTATTATTTAAACAAACAAAAGTGCAGATATCTTATTTTACCATCGAAACGCGAGAAACAATAGACATTACTGTTTTTGTTTTTTTAAAGGAAAATAATTGTACGTATCTCTTTGAGATAAAATATACTCTAAGGACCACATGGTGTTCGATTTACTTTGGTCGCTAACGTTGCCGTCACACGACGCTCGGTTATCGCTGCAATACGAGTTATAACGAATTACATTCCTGGCCCTCACACGTAGCAAGCAATTGCGGCGCCGAAAAAGAGAGAGAAATAAAAAAAAAAAAGAAAGAAAAGAAAAGAAACAGGAAGAGTTTGCGTAACGCGCAATTATCCGTATTAACATAGCTGGGTCCGGTGGTTTGCATCCGCAGTGGCGTCGCGAGACGTGAAACGATCACTTTATAACGTGGTATGTAATATTACCTGAAGGTAAAGTGTGTACATATGTACAAGGCAGGGGGGGGGGGTGAGCAACGACGCGCGGCACGACACCGTATATATATATTTCCCATCCTCGACGCAACACGATGCAATTTCATTCTGGAGCGTATTTATCCCCCATCGTACAATATTTATCCGTCATCCAACGCGAGACGGAAAATTGATAAAACGAAGCTGTGCACTTTGCGTCGGTCAGCAAGGTGGGAGTGTTACGAGTCTCGCCTACTGAAAGTTTCGAGCGCAGCTCGTTTCGTTGTAAGTGATAGGCGTCGAGTGATTGATACTTGCCATCATTCATCGGTCCGCAAAGTGATATCGACCAGGCGATTTAAGAACGGGTGAATAATGGCGCGAAAAAAAAAAAAAAAAA